AGCACGCACATACAGAAAATTCTCCCGGTTTGAGGAATATTCTACCTCAGGGTAACAAAACACTGAGCTAAAATCGGCCATTTTTTGGGTAAAAAATTGTTCTTCAACAAGAGCACTGCTTAATTTATGCAGGAGACAAGTGTTTGTTTAAACTTCAGAAACGCACTCCAGGAACAACACATTTTATGTCTGTTGTTATGTCTTTACAATTTAATAGTATACGTAATACTGATGGCAGCTCATATTCTGTTTATGATTTCATGATTTTGTTTTATGATCTTGTACTTCTACATTTTGAAACATTTAAAATCCACCCCTGAGTACAATTTAAACAAATTCAAAGAAAGGGGGTTTGCAAGTGTCTTGAGGCCAACCTCTGTTCAGCAATTAAAAATAAAAACAGAATTTTGAACTTTCTTTACCTGAAACACTTTTCTTCCACTGGGCGACGTCACACACGTCACAGCTCGGTGATCAACGAGGTCTAGGGCGTACAAGGCAGAGGATCCGAACACGAATTTCAGCCTGTAAAACACAGAGATTTTTTTAATCTACCCCTTCTGATTAATCACTGTTATCAATTAGCAATTTCTCTGGTTGACTCTTATCTAAAGCGACTAACATTTTGTGTTCATCTACACAGCAGGGTATTTTACCAGAGCAAATCGGTTGAAGTAATGAAGCACCTGGCTCAGGGGTACAACAGTGCCTCGACTGGGATTTGAGCCCACAACCTTCGAGTTGCAAGTCCTAACCACAAACCCACCTCACGGAAATCTTTATACGAACTAGATGGAGGTCAGGATAATCTCCCATTCTCTTCAGTTTCATCTGTGCTAGATAACATTGATAATGTATCCTGTGTCATTGGAAACCACAAAATGTGACCTTTAAAGTATGTCTTTGATCAAAACAGTGTCCAGCTGCTATTGAAAATTTCAGAGTGACACTTCATGCAAGAGCACATCCTATCCACACACTTTGCAGATTACACAGCCATTGTATATATTCCTACATTATCCCAACTGACCAGCAATAACCATTGTAATACAATAACCAATCACTCATTATTAGTATCATGAGTATCATTTTACTCCGTCTTGCACAACATCACAATGATCTAATAATCTTTATACAAAATAACTTTTAGAGCGCACCTTCATTTTTACTGTGAAATGGAGAACTCAATTTAGTCTCTTGACAAAACTCAAGTTTCTTAAAACTATCAAGATATTACAGATTTGCATTTCAAACTAAGTTTCAACACAGATGAATTCAAGACTTGCTCTGGGTACAGTAACTATCTGTGCACACGTGGTGAATAATAAAACCTTGAGACTGAAACTATGAACAGCCACCCCCACACGAGGTCTGACTCCATTGCATCACCAATTCAATCTGACTCCCCTTTGATTCAAATCACTCCTGGAAGAAGGAAAAAAAATATAAACCGTTGCTCTCGCGCTCAATGGAGACATTATTAGCGCAAGTCTGAGTCATGTCATAAGCCAACTGTGACTGGGACAGTCCAAGCAGCAGCAAGCAATTCAGCAGCATACTGTACTGCCATAGTAGGGCTGGAATTGCTTGGACAGTTTTCTCTGTTTCCCTACAAACTCCTATGCCTTCCCGCCAGCTTACGGTCACTTCTCCAGCTGGAGCCATTTCTCCTACAAGGGACTGTACACCTTTCAATGTGTCAGATCAATAGCTCTGGAGGTGGGTGAGTCAGAGGACCATGTCCCTTGTCTGTCTTCCAAGCGGAGCAGGGGTCACTGCAGAAGAGCCGAGTCTTACTATCAGTGGAGATGATCACATTTGATGGGAGTATAAGACAAGGGGACTTTACCCTGAAAGAGAACTTTTTGCACTACCACTACACTTGATGAGCTAAATACTCAATAACTCAGATGCAATTCCATGGAAAACGCGTTTCCAACAACTAAATTAAAAACATTCATACAAATATAGAAAGGCTTTTCTGGGAGATTCCAAGCTTTTGTGTAATTTCAAATACAGTGAAGAGCAGGTTACAATGTAAGTCTAAAGCCCATAGACCTGTAATCCAGACACGTCACATGCCCCAAACTGTCCTGCAGCTGGCTTGACTAATATTAGCAGAAGGAAATGTTTGACCAAGCTTCTCTATCATCTTGCTTTTATACTTCTTCGTTCCCACAGAAAAAAAAACAAAAATACAATCACCTTGCATTCAGACCACTAAGTTTTCCTGGAAAACCACTGTTTGTGCACTCAACCCCAGCTGCATAAATACCAGCCCACCACGCAGTGTATGGCTGCGATTAGTTCTTGTCAAGACGCACTTAAAATGTTTTACTCTTGTTTTTTTTTTATGAATGGAACAAACACTAACAAATCAAAGACCAATGTCATGAAAACCCATACAAATAAAGGTTCACTGGAAAGCTATTCCTAAAGCACTCCACCGACAAAAGAGAGTTGTCCCTCCCTTTTCCACGGCAGGAGCCAAGGAAAACGATCAAATATGAAAACAAAAGAACTGCATAGCTTCAATTAACTGGACATCTGGTCTTGCGGGTTGAATTCTGACCACTAGGCCCATTAAAATCAAGGAAATTCAAAAATGAGTGGCATGAGTAATCCCAGCTGACAGAAGCAAATGGAAAAAAAATTAAAAATTGATAACAAACAACCGGCACTAAAAACCTGGAAACAAACCGAAGGGCTTTTTACATATTTCGATAAAGTAAATGTGGACTCACCAAAATAACACATCATTCTAAATTCATCATGGGAATTTACAACTACCCTCTGAGGAGGAGCATAATGACTAATTGCAGCTCTCAGAAGACACTCTACACTTCAGCTACCACTTTCCACCTTCTGTCCAGCTGCAGTGGATATGGCATCAGTGTCCCATGAGTGCATCAAGCCTTTTTCTTGGGCGTCCTCCAAACACAACGTGCCAAGTCCGATGAGGCTGACGACCACTGCGGTGTTGTTCTGACAGTGCACCGCTCCGGACATCGCCAGCTGTGAATGCGCTTTGAAATCCATACCCCGGGTTCTGGATTTACAATCAGTTCTGGTGTGGGCAAATACTTAAAAAAGAAAAGACAGGTCTACATCCCATCAACCCTTCAAAAAACTGCTATAGCTCCGCCGGGCTGAAATTTGCACACATACAGTACATGTAGCTGTTCTGGTGCCAGAACCCATCACTTCTCTATAATAGTGCTGGATCTACAAAAGACAAGGCTCTGCTGCAAGAAGCACAGTTGAGCACAAAGAGTCAGAGACGCTTCTTTCCACAGAAACTGCCCAGCCAGGCAGACAGAGGCCGAGCAAGGACCTAGGATCCATTATCGGTCAGCGATAAAATGAGCAAACTGGGCTGAACTGCCTCCTCTCATTTGTGACCCTTCTCATGGTTTAAATAAGGGACCAACTCCAGCTTTCCCAAAGCCTTGCCACTCTCATTCCACACTGGCACTCAAACTGTTGATCTTAATCACTCAAACATAGTGATTCCAAAACATCATTTAGACTACTGTGGGCTGCACTGAAACATTATCTGTAACTTAAGGGACCCAAGCCAAGTCTTGCTCCAGTGATGACGTCCACTACACGAGGTGTGCAACCCAATCATCGAGCACACTCACTCCCCCTCTGTCTCCATACAGTAGGTGTGTGCTCCAGTGTTAGCTCAAAATAGAGTGTTTGCGTGGAGCAAATACAGTGAAACTGACAAATCTGGTAAGGAAGGGTCACTGCAATAACAATTTGGCGGGATACAAAAGAATGAGCAACAGAGGTCTGTCTTCTAAGCCAAACAGTTCTGAAACTCTAAAGGAACGACCAGATGTTAAATAGA